GTGATGCAGTTCCAAAAAAGGCTAATATAATTCTGGGGTATTTTAAGAGTGTTGTATGTGAGACATGGAAGGTAATTGTCCTGCTCCACTCAACACTGATGTTGAATTGTGCATAGTGCTGGGCACCACGCTTCAGAAAAGATGTGGACAAACCGGAAAGAGTCCAGAGAGCAACAAAATGATAAAAGGGGGTAAAAAAACTGGATACATTTAATCTTGAGAAAATAAGACTGAGAGGGGAACCAGATAATAGTCTTCAGGTATATTAAGGGCTGTTATAAAGAAGACAGTGATTAATTGTTCTCCATGTCCACTGAAGGTATGACAAGAAATAATGGGCTTAATCTGCAGCAAGGGAGATTTAGGTTAGATATTCGGAAAATTTTTCTAAATATAAGGATAGTTAAGAACTGGAATAGGCTTCCCCTATGGAATCCCCATCCTTGGAGGTTTTTAAGAACAAGTTACACAAACACCTATCAGGATACTCTAGAGATACTTGGTCCTGCCTCAGCACAGGAGGCTAGAGAGTAGATGACCTCTTGAGGAACCCTCCAGCCCTTCATTTCTATGATTGAAATAGTTCTCCACTGCTTTCCATTTGCCCTATCAGTGCATCGGAGACATTTAATTACAAAACTAAACACTTTCCTGACTGTTAACTATCTATCCCTTCTTAAAACAAAACACTCCCCACCCCCCGACATCCTCTCCTGTTTTACTTTTATAGTTTAATAAACACCTGTATGCCATTGTCCTGTGAATGAATAAAACAATACCTTGCTTTTATTGTGCTGCATATGGGAAGGAAATTAATGCATTACTAGTTGAAGTGTCTGATCCAGATGAGTGGAAGTAAATCTTAACGTTTCAAAGACAGGCATGGTCTGTTTGTCAGCCATCATAGTATACCAGACATGTCTGATTTACTCCATGCCATGGTTAGAGGCAACACTGGCCAGGTAGATGATTTCCATTTTTCTTGTTTGGTTTGTGTTTCTGTAGGGTTACTGTATTTGTTGTACCTTAACTATTATTTCTTTTTATTCAGTAATAGAGTATCGGTGATTTATCTGCAGTGGGTTTTTTTTTGACAGTATAGTGAAAATACTCAGTTCCTTTCTGCATTTAGGAATAAATGAAGTATGATCCATAGCATTACCTGAACTAGAAAGATAAAACTTCAATCCGAAACAGTCGTGAGTCCCAGTCATGTTCTCCCATGTGTAAAGTAAAAGGGCCAGGGATAAGTGGAAAACCCAGAGTTCCTGAGACGACATTCCATGAGGACAGGGTTATCGAGAGACCTGTCAGGAAAACAACAATTCATGAAAATGACTGAGGTTTTGAAATGTATTTTTATACGGATGAGTGACAAAACTGAGACCTTTAGAGATCTTTTCATGAAAAAACATGAGAGAGAGAGACCCCCCCCTCCCCCCCGGGAATAGCTAACAGCCTGGTGGTTAGGACTCTCACCTACTTCACAGCAAGGACTTTGAATTGGGTCTCAAACATCCCTGGAGTGTGTCTTAGCCACTGGGCTACTGGGTATTCTGCAGTGGTTGGGCTGGCAAAACATTTCAGTTTCAACCAAATAAAAAGTTTCGTTACAATGCTTTGACTAGCTCTAGTTAGCAACACTGTGTTAGGGGTCAAAGGTCATATCCAAACATCCCTATAAAGGACAAAGGAGGAGCATGGAAGAAGCAGAATCCATAGAGATAAGAGAAGCTCCATGGATGTTGGGAAAGCTGTGTCAGGTCTGAGTGGGCTGAGTCTTTCTGGCATTCGCTGTTCTAGCTTCAGTGGTAGGATGGAAGAAAGCAGAGACTGCCACAGCTCTTGGAGCTTCCAGACCAACTCCAGTTAGCTCAGACATGATGCCCAGAGAGATCTGTGTAAGTCAATATTGTCTCTATCAGCAGAAACTTGCACCCTCAATTATTGGTTGCTTTTGGCTGTTTTGCTGGGGTGTGATGATATATGGTTGATTTCCCTGTCCCTTCTTTATTAAGAAGGGAGTCTCGTTCACATGGAGGCTTATCTACGAAGTTGACGGATGCTGCCAAATTGGATCAGTTTCCCTGTTCTTTCGGCAGTTTGGTCCAGGGGAACTAGAAACTTTAGTCTCTTTCCAGGAGAAAAATTGGAGAGGGAGGATACGACATATTTGATACCTTTCAAAACATCCATGCTTGAAAACATGCAACAGTTTAAATGGTCACCTTAAGCAAGATGCCATGAAGGCTAACATGGCTCTTTTCTAACGGCCACAAACCTACGCATGGGAGATGTGGAATTGAAGCGACACAACCCAGATAGTCTTAACAGTGTCTCACGTAACTTGATCATTGACCATCTGCATGTGTTTTAAAATAGATGGTTTTTTTTAAACTAGAATTATTAAAAAATTCAGTCTGTTGCTTAATTAATTAGTACCAAGATCTATGTACGCACAACATTTAATACAAATCAGTCTTAACTTACCCTGGGCCAGATTGTGATATCCTCACTCATGTTTGGCCTGATCCAAAGCCCACTGAGATCAATGGAAAGATTCCTACTGACTTCAGAAGGCTTTGGACCAGGTCTGTTTAATGAAGTGGATCAGGCCTGTTTAGGATAAGTAAAGATAACACATTCTGGCCCTATATGTTCTGCTTGTTTAACAAAATGTTGGGGGAGGGGGAGCCAAAATATAAAGGTTTTTCTACATTTTTAGTTATAAGTACCTCCATCAGTACCACTTACTCAAATGTTTTTGAATGGATTAGGTCTGTGTATAAACACAAAAGGACCAAGGGCTAAATTTCACGTGGACATAAGTGGGTACAACTCTATTAATGTTAAAGAAACAGCACCTGCTTATGACGGCACTGAATTTTGCCCTAACATTCTAATGCTTATAAAACAATTATTTTAGATGTAAGACTCTGTGAAATTCTTAAAAGTAATAGTCATAAACCCAATTTGTAATACAGCATTTTTTTAAAAAAGACTATAGAATAAATACGATATGTGATAAGCTTAAGTTGTAATGTCTAATTCTTATTGTACAAATGATAGTACTATTGTGAAAAAATGGAATCTGGAGTGGCATACTTGATAGCCATTAAAAAAAACAAACAAAAGGCAGAGGAAATCGATTAGAAAACATTTCAGTTACTCATCAAGCATTTCTTCTGGGTGCGGGGATGTTACAAACTGCATCTTGGCTCTTCCATAGAGTAACACTCAATTTTAATTTGCATTGAATGAATGTGATTTGCAACTTTTCAGTAATGGTCCAATAAATGAATGTCGCCCTCCTTTGCCAGTGGCCATCCGACATCTGTGTAATTAACTAGTGCATACCATAGTCATGGCAGGAGAGCGTACAACAAATACTGTGAGTTGCACAATCAGAGGCACTATGAATGAAGTTTTGAAAGAGTCTAAAGAATGGAATTTTCATTAAAAAGTTTTATATTCGTGATGAGTCTGAACCAATTACCTGGATTTGAACAGTCCCAAACTCTGGGAGAATTAAGATCCAAACCTGAACTTTGTGGCTTGGCTCAGGTCTGTCTCTATTTTATATGAATGAACTCTTTTAAAAAAAAACAACAAAAAACCAAGGATCCATTCTCAGCGTTCAGCGGAGGAGACTGATAGGATCTCACTTCTGTGTTTTCAAGGGGGGAATTTTCAAAGGCATGAAGTCATGGGGGTTGGGCCCATAACTTCCGTTTGTGCCTTTGAAAATACGCTGCCACCTACCCCCCACCCCCAAATGTATAGGACACCCATGAACCTAGCAGCAAACCTGTTTTTTCTTAGGGTATGTCTACATTGCAGTTGGGAGCATGCTTCCCAGTTCGAGTCAAAAGACATACTTGCTCTCTCAACCTGGTGCATTAAAAATAGCAGTGTAACTAGGGATAGCGCAGTTGGCAGCTCATGCTAGCCACCTGAGCACAAACCCTCCCAGACCTGAGCCTTGCCCACGCTACCCCCGGCTGCACTACTATTTATAGCACGGTAGCTCCTGCAGAGCTAGGCCTGTCCCCCTAGTCAAGCTGGGACGCATGCTCCCAGCTGCAATGCAGATGTAACCCCCGAGGGAAGAAATAATGGGGATCTGGCTCAACGTACACAGTGAAAGTTGAAAGACGTTAAAGGAAGGAGATCAGGAACAGCATCTTCTACTAGATGGTTATTGGAACAACCTGGCGCCTAATGAAGTGGGAAATCGGGTGGGGGGAGACAGATACAGAGGATCAGCACAAGGCCTAGGTGTGACAGCCACCATCAGAGACTGAACCAGAGACTTCCAGAGCCTAAAGTATGAGTCTAGACTAGAGAGTGAGCTAAAGAGCCAAGTGCCATAGGTGGATGCTGTAACATACTCCTATCCTCAGAATCATACTTTCCATTGGGTTACATAAGGCTCATTTAAGTTCTGTTCTGGGGCTCTAAGTGGGGCTTATGTGGTGCATAGGCCTCATGCTCATCCCCTGCTTTCATTTCACCCATCGTAAGGTTCTGTTTGTCTTCTCAAATGACATGTGGTGGACTTTGTAGGTAAGAGAGCTCTCCAGTCACAAATACTCTTTCTACTGACGCAAGCACTTTAAAAACAATTACTTAGGTTATGTCTACATGTCCATGATGGTTGTGCCAGTACCCCCCTACTGTCCACGGCTACCCTGCAGAAGCACGTATTTGAAGATGAGTAGAGGGTGAGTAAGCTAGCATGCCTGAAGGGAGTGCATAAGTACATGACTCAGGCTGTAGCATGGTCGCAAACTCATACCAGCGTGCAGTGTGGAGAAGGATAAAGGGTGTGCACCAGTTCTCAAGTTCCAATAGATCTTTCCCCTCCATTCCCACAATGCACTCAACCCTGACCCTTACCCAGTCTATAAAGGTCCCTGCCCCCCTGTTTTCATCAGCAGAAGTGAGCTGTGCTGACCATATCAGAACCATTTTGTGCTGTACTCTTTTGATCAATACAGATGAACATGTTCCGAAAGCAGCCGCTTGGCCTATTGAGCACAGCCGGGTGCTGCGCAATGTGTAGTCAGAGCACACCATCCTCCAAGACTTCTCCCAGAGCAGCAGGAGCATTCACCTGTATTGGGAAATTTCACAGAGACTGGAGGAAGCAGCACTGAATGGACTCTGGCCCAGTGCTGGGAACCCATCAAGCACTTGGGGTGTCTGTACGGGAGGCAAAAGACTCCAACAGTTTATCCTCCATCATGCCCCTTCTATGATGAACTGGACCAGGTGCTGTCAAGGGCTCCCAGTACAGAGCCCAAAGTGGCTCACGAACCCCTCCTCCACCCTGATGGCCTCATTGTCCGATGGGTTGCGGAGAAGGAGCAGGCAGCAGGGACTATGGAAGATGCTTTGGAAGACATGGAGGACATGGAGCATGTGATTCTGCACCTCTGCCTGGAGAAACCTGTTGAGAAGTCTCCCCGTCCATGAATCTGAGGAGGACCCCCCAAGCTGTAGCAGGAACCAGAGCCCAAAGCTGGTAAGTCGCAATGGAACCCCACTCACCCTGCCAATATCCCCTCTTGCTCTGTGCTAAATTCCTGATTTTTTTTTAGCCCAGCCCCTGCTTTGTTTCTTGCCTTTAATGGTCCCCAGGCAAGACACAGCTATAAATCAATGATTTTATTGATTTCCGACAAACCCCTATTATGCATTTGGCAGAAGCTATAAAACAGATTATTAATGAACAATCATTGTGTCACTGTGTCTGTGCGTTTCTCAGCCAGCACGCAGGCAGCGATGGTCCCGGGCCACATGAATCAGGGGAAGGAGGAGGGGGAGGTTTTGGTCCTGGCCGGGCATGGGACAGTTTTAGAAAACTTACAATTGTTTGACTAAAGTTAGTAACAGCTGTCTTTTGTCCCTTGGAAGATTGAAGTTTCAGTGCTTTCCCTGGTTCCCCCCTCCCCAAATCTTACTGTCCCTTACAAACGACATATGTGGGGGGAAGGGGGCTAGGTCCATGAAGGGGAAGGGAACATTTTGATTATTTGAGGAAAAGTTAGTCACCGCACTCCTTTCTCCCTCAGAAAATTACAAAATTTTTATCATCCCTATCCCTGGTGTCTGGCCTCTCCCCGCACTGAGCCATGCTGTACAAGGCAGGGGACGTAAGAATAGCCATACTGGGTGAGATCAAAGGTCCATCTAGCCCAGTATCCTGTCTTCTAACAGCAGCCAATGCCAGGTGCTCCAGAGGCAATGAACAGAACAGGTAACCATCAAGTGATCATCCCCTGTCACCCATTCCCAACTTCTGGCAAACAGAGGCTAGGGACACCATCCCTGAGTGGTAACAGGTAATATAGACCCCATCATTTTATAAGTATAGTTGGGATTATGTTTTCCAATGTGCATTACTTTGCATTTATCAACATTGAATTTCATCTGCCATTTTGTTTTCCAGTTCCCTAGGTTTGTGAGATCCCTTTGTAACTCTTCACAGTCTGCTTTGGACTTAACTATCTTGAGTAGTTTTGTATCATCTGCAGATGTTGCCACCTCACTGTTCACCCCTTTGTCCTGGAAAGAAATTTGGGAGAACTTTGGTCTTTTCAAGCTGAAAAGCAGTGGAGAAAACAGCAGTTAGAAGAGGACGATGCAGAGCAGTACAGCTTGTTTAATAGAGGGTGCATTGCAGTGGTATCAGCAATGTAGAGTTAGTGCTGCAAATGCTGCATACTGGAACTTATTTAAAGAGGCTATTGTAAAAGTCTTTGAGCCAGTTAATTATCAGTTTTTGTTATGTCAGGAACTCCTTGAATTAAAGCAGAAAGAAACTATTCATGAATATGTTCCAGTCCTGTAGTTTAATGGGAGAAGTTTAAAAAGAGAGAGAGATAAAATGATTTAGTTCATGAAGAATTGAAAACCCGCACCAAGAAAGGTGAAATTACATATTGTGCACCATCTACTCTTGCATAAGCCATTAAAATTGCTGTGGGCTTAATTGGACTAATCGCCCATTGCATTGTGCATGAAACTCAGTATGTGCACAGAGAGGTGGTATGACCGTGGGGCTGGCCTTGGAAGCTTGAGATAGCAAAACTAACCAATAGCAGCAGTTGTCCAGCGATGAAAAGAAAACAATTGCATTTAAAAGGCACAGCAGTTAAGGCATTTATTTAATTTATTAGCAAAATGGACTTTAATGGGTGTGAAAATGGAAAGCAAAAATGTTTTCAGGAAAAAGAAAGTGTTCAGTAGAAAACAAACACCTATAGAGCATAAGCATTATAGGTGAGCCTAATTTCTTCCTTCCTTACTTCTTCCTGCAACTCCATTGTCTTCAGTGGAGTTACTCCTGATGTACACCACTGTAAATGAGTCCAGAGTCAGGGCCCATATGTTCTTCTAAACTAGCCAGGATAAAAACCACACCTCATGCTATCTCTTTGAATTAACCAGTGGATATAAAATCAGATGGGAGTGAAGAGCCCTCACCAATATTCTCCAAACACTTACTTTGATGCTATCCATTGTTCAGTCAATGTAACATTTGTTATATTGAGAAGGTTTTCGAAACAAAACCCTGGAAATATGAACTGTATCTCTCAGCTCTTCTGAAGTTTTCAGGAACACTAATATTCAGGTTTCAGAGTCTACTGTAGACAGCACCCATGTAGCACTTCGGTGAAGACACTACTTATGCCAACAGGAGGGATTCTCCCATCGTTGTAGGTAATCCACCAGCCTGATAGGCGGTAGCTATGTTCACCCACCAACCTAGCACTGTCTAAGCTGAGGGTTAGGTTGGATTAACTGCGTTGTTCGGGGATGTGGCTTTTTCACACTCCTGAGTGACATAATTATACTGGCCTAATTTCCTAGTGTAGATCAGGCCTTGGGCTTCCTCTTACTCAGCCATTCAGAGGACACTACTGATACACCACTAAACACATACCTGACAGAGATTTATGAGAAAAATATGAATTGGAATTTTTCTGTCTCCTTTGGGTTTTGGATGTCTCAGAATTAATGTTACAAATTGAAGGTGTGATCCTGGAGAGCACTGAGCACCTGCTGCAAGTCTCGTTAAATCCGCTTATCTGACTGATCACTCCCTGCACCCTTGTGTGACTTATTTTGCTACAAGTGCAGAAACAAAGTGCTAATCCCATTTTTTATGCTTGGATTAATGCTGTATTCAAATAATATGGATTTTTAAAAGTTTTAAATCATATGTCAGAGTAATATTGGATTTCAAGGCTCTAATTGGGTAAGTGTGCAGTGGGCACTAAGGCATAAGACGCCTCTCTCAAACTGCGCTCTTGTTCTTTAGGATCTCAGTTTTCATTTTAAAAGAAAATGTAATCTCTAGCTGTTGTGGTTCTGGAAAAAACCTGAACCAAGTGGAACTGATGCTGACATGTCTACACAAGTCATCAGGGAACAATAGTGGTGAGATATATGAACTTCCCCATTCATTTAAGTGAGGTGCTAATTCAGATGACCAGAGATGATGATTTAAATTTCAACAATACTGTTTCATACCTCATGTAAGAGTGGAAAGGGAGGCTTGTAGATCTGGACAATTTATTGACAAACACAACAGGAAGATGGACTGGTTGCCAGTGGAACAGGCATTGTCTGGGAATAGGGAGAAACGAACCCTGAAAAATAGAAAGAGTGACAGATGAACAAATCTGAAGTAAGTGTCTTGGGAATAAAATGAAGAGAGAAGGCTGGGGTCATTGCAATTAACAGAGGAAGAAAGAAAGGAAAGAGCACATGCGCAAGAGAGAGAGTTGGTGGATATGAGAATATGGGTGGAATAAGAGGTAAAGGAGGTGCTAGATTGCTTATGTGGCATCTATTTCAGATGTGCAAGTTATTCTATGCCTACCATGGAATAACTCTCTACATCATTCTCTGACATGGAACCATCTTCCACTATGTGCTGGGATCAATCTATTTGTAAATGTAAAGATCCCAACGCAAATGTTTGCTCTCAAGGCCTTGTGAAGTTTGGAAGATCCTTGGAGGATACTTAAATGAAAACTGAACTTATTTGCCTGAAATCAGCTTTGTGAAATAGATAAGCAAATAGACCCAGACACTTTCATAGTTGTTGAAGACCTAATTTTTCAGATGTGGTACAGAGGAAGACTTAGATATCCTTCTGGAAGAGGAAAATCAGCTAAGCCTGCACAGAGAGCCTTTTCTAAAAAACTTTTTCTAAATTCCCCTCAAACCTAATGGATAATCTTAAACCAGTTTATAATGTTGTCCTTAGCTCAGGTCCAAGTGGGTGAGTTCAGGTCCTCAGATTTTCTGTTCTTGCCTTGCTAGGCTGTCTAGTTTTAGCATCTAGTCTGTGATAATTTTCATCCCATTTCATCCACTTTCGCCTCCTCCAAAGTGACCTTCCTAAGGATAGTGCAATATGGCAGAGCTCCTGTGTTGGATGTTGTGTTTCTCGGGCTAGAGACTTATTTTTCAGTTTATTTCCTTTTCTCTTTGCTATTTTTTGTCATTCTTCAAAATTTTAGCTTTGATAAGTACAAATATTGGACCTGTGTTTCTAGTCATTTAGATTGGTTAAGTTTCTATGAACACATCTGGCCTCATGCTCACAAGTCCCACTTGCCACCCTCATCCTCTTATGCATATTTCAAAATAATAATTTGAGATAATCCAGTAGAACCAATCAGTGTCACAAGATAATGATCTCCCACTGTTATATAACAGACTATATATGACTGTATTTCTGTAACACCAAATGGCTACTAAAGATTCTATAATTTTATCCAAATGATATTAGTGCAGTACCAAAACATGTTTCCTGACCTGTTGCATCTGCTGCTGTGTTAGAGGACAAACTATGTGTGTGTCTCATTGAATCTGATCAGGGAACAGATTATTTGTGAAAGTTATTTTTTGAGATGTACTTTTATGAAGCAGTGTATTGTGGTTTGGCTGAAGTTATAGTTATTTTTAACTTATGGACAGTTCATAATAGCTAGCTGGTAGTCTGGATGGCTAGTACAGGCTTCATTTGGTACACATAATACCTGTACATCTTCCTAGAGGAAACTAGAGACAGAAAAGTTTTTCAAAGAAAAGTTCATCAGTGCAAACCTAAAGGCTTGTCCTAC